CCTGGCCGGAGAGGAGGGGCCCCAGATGCCTCGGTGTGTTACCTGGAGCGGGGGGAGACAGGGGGGCAGGGGAAGCCCACAAAGAGGCAGAGGTCTGGGTGCACCTGGCAATTGTTAAGGTCCCCAGCTGTTTCTCTCTCCAAAGACTCAAAGCACAGGACAGTCCCTCTCTTAACCAGCTAGTCTGTGTGGGCCGGCAGGCCTGCAAGACTTGCGCCGTCACCCGAGCGCCCCCTGCAGGCTGCATCCCGAAGGCGCGGCACGGTGCAGTTCCTCCCTGATGCTCAGCAGCCCTGGGCCGTCCAGCAGGGTTTAGGTGAACTACAGGGCCTGCTGGGCGAGAGCACCGGCCTGGCCGCACCTCTCGTAGCCCTGGGTCAGCGCCTCTGTGGGGGGTATTAGCACCCTGGAAGGGCAGTTGAGAGGCAGTGTCAGGTGGCACAAATCCTCGCTCAGGGAAGTCCCTACCCAGGGCCCGGCTCTCTCAGGGCTTCTGTGACCCCACACTCTACAGCTGAGGCCTGGGGGTTCCTCAGACCTGGCCTTGGCCCCCAGGAGCCCCCAGCTGGGAAGCTGGAAAGATGAGAGGTGGGTAGGGCCAGCTCTAAGATAGGACGTGGCCGCCTGTCCCCCGGGTTCTCTACTGGTGTCTGGAGAGCTCGGACTCAGGAGAACGGCCTGCAGGGGGCACGCGGGCAGAGGTGGGAGGAGCCCACCAGGATGGAGCTCATTCCTGCAGGGAAGGAAGGGGAGAGCCCAGAGACCACCCCTCTGAGTGCCCTCTGAGCTCTACTACGCTAGCCTCTGACCGCGCTGACCACAGCCTCTGCACCTGCCCTCCCTGCCCTTCCCTGCCCTTCCCTGCCCCTGTCCCAGCTCAGCCAGGCCAGGAGGAAGCTTCCAGCACTTCTGAGCAGAAGATTCTCCCCGGACGTCTGAGGAGAGCTGGGCTCCAGCTGCCGCCTGCGGAAGCCAGAGGGCTCAGATGGCCATCCGGATCAAGTGTACTCACGTGTGGCCTCTCAGAACCCGCCGACGGGGGTAGAGGCGCCTGGCCCAGCCCTCCGAGGGTCTGGAAGCATAAATGGGAGAGGGCTTCTGGGAAAACAAAGTTGAACTGGGTTCCGAAGATGTTGGTGTGTTTTTCTGCCCCATGGGTGCTGCCCCATGGGTGCTGTCCTGTTGATCATGAAGGTCTGTCTGTCTGTCCACTCAGAAAAAACTATTTGTCATGGTGACAGCTGGTGCCCCGGCACCGTCGAGGCACGGTGGCGACAGGCAGCGGGCACCCACACGCCCCAGGGGAGAAAGGCGGCTCAAACATGCAGTG